GCAGGAATCTCAGCACAGCTCATGTCTTCAGCTACCACAGACTACAAGAGCAATAGCTTGTGGGTCTTTTAGCATTTTCATGGAAATCCTTCAAGGACATTCAAACTTCTGAGTGTGGTGCTGTGTGAATGACAATACTGTCCACACGCTGTGTGTTTCGGGACTAGTTAACTCCATCTTCCCAAAAGCATCATGGAGCTATTCCTGGAGAAATAATACAGGCAGACTTTAATATGTGATTGAAAATGCTGTGTCAGGAACACCCAGCCAGAACACAATGCAGCACACAAAAAAATTGTGCACAGGAGGCACACAGGAGTCCCCAGACTGCAGTGCAGATCTCCACACCCTGTTCAGCTCACTTACCCTGGAGCTACTAGTCTCCACAGAGGCTAACCAGAGAATGAAGAACTGGCTAGATAGTTGATCTACTCACCTAGTAGATTAAATTCATCCAGGCTAAATTAAGTAATCTAAAAGCTGAATGACTGCTTTCTAATACACTGGGCTATAGTCAATGGAGAGAGACAGTCATGCCTAGGTGTGAGCATCCACGTTCAGACACTAGGTTCTAAGTCAGCTGGGATGGATCCTGTCTGCAAGGGACTACCCCTGGAGTGAGACTGTTACTTTAGATTGGCTATCCAGCCTATAGATCCCTGAAGTCATAACAAACCCTTACCAGGACTACGCAAACTCCAAGAACAGAGGCAAAGATACATTTAATCAGAAAATTTAAGTTGCCTGGCAGAGCTGTGTTGCAATGCAGCACGCAGATGCAGTCAGCAGCCACGGACAGTTGATATGGGACAAAATTAAAAGTAAGCATAGAAGTGTTACAGGTGTAAATAAGTGTTAGAGCAGCTTGAAGAACAACTTTAATTTAAAGTGTGAGATGAGAAACCTTTTGGCATTTTTTGGGAAAAAAACAAAGGGAAGGGGCTATAACATGATGGGCCTTTTTCTGGAGCCACTTTGCCAGGCTGATAATGTGACCCTGGTGATAACATAGAAGGGTAAGGTCACGCTACTTTTTGCTTTCCTAAAGAGCTGAAAAGTGTGAATTTTAAAGAACTCATCAAAACTAAGTCAGCTAAACAACAGCTGCTGATTCAGTAAACTCATTTCCACTGTCTCTAACTGGTGGTTGGTAATGATCTACTCTCCCTCCATTAATTTCTCATGGACCTCAGCAGATGAAAGCACAGAGGATGTAAACATCTCCAGCAGAGCTTGTCAGGCTGGGCTTCTTCAGTGTTGGTGGGGAGAGGCCGAGACTTGTAGGGAGTCAGTTACCTCACCCTGCAGCAGATATCTGAAATAGGTCGGATGAAACGTGCCATGAAAGGGCTTAGCTCTCTCCACCAAGCATAAGGAACACCAAAGCTGCCCAAGTCAGTGACAGAGATTTACCTGGAGATGAGACACCTAACATTAGATAAGAGGGTATCTTGCCCCTGCTGTCTGGCAAAGAGATAAATGTCTCCAATTGGCATTCCATAGACTGATGGGCCAACACAGGATGTGGGAAACACATCAGTCAATTTTTGACAGCTAAAAGCTGGAAATGTTGTCTACTGACCTTCTGCAATCGACAGAGGAAGATTAGGGGGAAATTCCCTCTGGCTAAATACACACACCGAGTCCCACTTCCAAGTCAGTGTTCCTAGACCACTGTACTCTGGCTGATACCTCAGCTCAGTCAGGATGTAAGCATTAGGCAATACTTCATTCTTGTGGCCCACTACAGATGTTCTTGGAATTCGTCAAACGTGAACACCTTGCCTGGGCTTTCCACAAAATGTACCTGCTCCTTCCTCTTCAAGCACAAAATGGAAGAGACCCTGCCAGCTTGCTTTCACAGTAGTACCATTCTTGGAGGGCACTTACCTGTGAATATGAGAAGCCAGATTTGCTTTTTTCCTCTCCTCTTTATTTCAGACTGAAATCCACATCCTCCCCCACAAAACATCATGGTGCTCAAACACACTTATCCATAGGCATTTCTGGAAGGCAGCAGCATAGCAACGTTCCACTGTGCAGAGTTCACTGGCCAGATGTAAACAGCAAGCACAATTGGATGAGAAAAGTCCATATTTTAATCACTGCACTGAAAATCGTGTCAGCACTGAACTCACAAACAGCCGTGCAAAGTCACACTCCCCAGGTTTTTGTCTGAAGTTCCTGACCATGGCATTACAGAATCTTTCTTCCAAGCACAGTGGCAGCACACAAATTCCTTGTTTCATTTTCTCCATTTGTACGTTAAGACTCTTCCAAATGAGGAGAGAGAGAGACAGTTTTGCCCAGAGAGGGCACTGGACATCAGTGGCCAGCTCTAGGCCAAACGAGCTAACGGCCAGTGATGGCAGGAGGCAGACAGCCCCACCCCCTCTGCTTGTTCCCCTGCTCAGCCGTGTGCCCAGCACGCAGGTTCTTTCCAGCTGACAGTCTGAGGTCCCTACCACCCCCATAGCACCCAGGGAAGCCAATGCATGGCCATGGAGGTGCTCTGGTGGCACTTGGAGTTCCAGCCCTGAGTCAGTCAGGGTGCTGCTTCACAGCTGTCATGAGAAGGACCACAGTGTGCCTCTTCCCTAGGCTGCTGCCCTGTGCTGAGCAGGTGAAAAAGCACTTTCAGACACTTCCTCCTTCTCTGCTTCCAGAGGAAATACACAGAAATAGAACTGGGCATTGTAATGTCAATGGGTCTAGTTACTAGCCGGAAGAGGGCATGAAGGGAAGGATGTGGGACAATGAGCAAAACCAGGCGCCTGGTTTTGACAGGATGTGGAGGAGCCCAGGAGGCTGGCAGGTAGGATGAGGAATGAACAAGCCCAGCTCACTCTTTTAGTCAGTGATGTAATTGTTAATGAAGGCTTTGCATGTGCAAGACTTCATGCTTCCTAAATAAGCATGAAGGAGTTCTTACCTCCTGGGAGAGTGCAGTAGCATGCCTACACTGACAGGATCCAGGGTCAACAACATGTTGCAGGGTCCTCTTACACAAACATACCTGCACAAGACAGCAGGAAAAGTACAGTAGGCCCTTCTGATCGCTGCACTTGCACACAGGAAATTGTTTACAGCAGTCTGCCCCAGGTCCCTCAAGCAGATCTAGTGCCACACAACCTAAACTCCCTGGGTGCTCCCAGCATACCCCTTCTGGAGCAGCCACTGCAATGTGAGAGCAGAAGGTGGAATAACACTGCATTCCAGCTCTGCATTCCCAGTGGAAGGATGAGGCCTAAATATCTCTTCTGTCCCACAAATGAGCAGAGCAAGCTGTTAAGCAGGTTGAATGACTGTAAGCAAAACAAGTACTCCCTCAACATGTTCAGCAACCTCAGGAGGAACACACGTACAATGCACAGGACAGCCCTGAACACACGATGAGGGGGCAGCATTAAAAAAGAGGCTCACCAGAGGAGTCTGGGAAGGATCAGGAGAATATTAATATGCAACTGCACTATCATAGTGCAGGAGGCCAAGCAGCCCTCAGCACCAGTGGGTGTTCCTCCCTTTGCAGGCAGGGAAGTGGGTGCTTCACAAGCACAGCATAATTGTCTAAGCAGCAGAGCCTCCCACTCACTCACACTGAGCCTCAGTCTTTCCTGGGCTCCTGTGTAAGCTCTGTCCTTTCCTCGACTTCTCAGACCTTCAGGAAAAGACAGTGCTGAGGGTCAGGCTGTGCAGACACAATATGCCCAAAAGATGGAGATATTGCTCCCTAAGGCATGCCACAGAGTGCTAGAAATACCATCACCCAGACCTCTGGAAGAGGTGTTGACCGTAGGACACCAAATGCCCAGTCAAGTGCTGCAGCACTGAAAGAACAGAACATGCAGGTTTCACACAGTCTCTTGGAGGAAAAAAGAGCAAAAAAGTCTTGATTAGAGTTATTTATAGAAGATTACTTATACAAGACAACAGAGATCAGACAAAGTGGGGCAAATGGGATGGGATCTTGTGCAAGCTGGTCTAGCAAGAGGTGTCCCTGCCCATGGCAGTGGGGTTGGAACTAGATGATCTTTAAGGTCCCTTTCAACCCAAACCAGTCTGTGATTCTATGAAATGTGAAGAGGCAGATGAGGACAGAACCCTGTACAGGTGAGTGTCTACCAAGAAATTAGCAGCCACCATCAGCATCCAAAAAACCACCGTGTACTAATCTAGGAGCACAACCAAACATCTGCACTGGGATCTGAGAAGCTGGAGAACGTCACAAGGGCTGACTGCTGCATTTGTGGCACAAGTCTATTAGCAGAAGAGTTAAAGACACTCAGTAATTTCTAGGTAGTAATGTAAACATTCATGACTCCCAACACTGGTATTTTCACCATCCTTGAAGGCAGCACACACACTCCAGTTTTGGAGCTCATGCTGTGATGAATTGTTCAGTGTAACTGTAGAGGGGATCGATCAGTAAACCTCTACAAATGCTCCAGCAGTACTTCAGCACATCTCTGGGGTGCAGACAACATTTGCTACATGCTCAGGATTCAACTGGTCAGACAAGAAATGCTACAAGTAGACTGTGCCAGGTCTATGTTGATTTGAGTTCTGAAGGAAGATCTATTCTGCAGGGGTTTGGAAGTAAGAGTGTGGAAAAATGGCAGAGTGGGCTCAGAGTATGGTATGGCTGTCAGACTGTTGAATACAAACCCACTTTCCCCAGCTAAAAGCAAATGTCAGCAATCACTTGGACATCGACGAGCACTTTAGAACACATGGCTGAGATGTTGCCCTGTGTTACTCCAGCACTGCTTTGTTACAAGCCTGTGGCCTTTGTGTTAGTGTGCTGTGGATAACGGCCCTGTGCGTGTGTCCTAAGCACTGAGCTAAAAGGTGACTGCTCCTCAAAGTGGTGTCATGCAGGGGAACATCACAGGGACCATGCTTGCAGAACCAGTCACCACCCCCTCCCAGCCAATGCTCAACCTCCCACAGCTTTGCCGTTCTTCATCTATTCTACATTCATCTGATTTCAAGCTCTAGTAGAAAGACTTGCTCTTACTCTGTCTCCAGTTTCTGCTTACCTTGTTTGCCAAGCCAAAGGCAGGGTAAGTGAGACAGGCCAGTAGTTAAGTCCAGCTGCTATGTTAGAAGCAGCAATTCTGACTGGAGGGTTCAGTGTGGCAGAAAAACACTTCACTTTGTAGAAGGCGAGGACAGAAGTCATAAATCTGGGATGTAGTAAGCACCCATTAGCAGAGCTTAGGTACTTGGACAGTACAGGAAATGTGGAGATCAAGCATCCCGTTGCTTCAGCACTTCAGCAGTAAGAAGCAGGAGAAAACCATGACATATAAATACCAAAACATGGTGTGAACACAGAAGCCAAAATGACACAGAAAACCATTTAACCACCTGAAATACAGAGTAGGCACCAAAGAGTACCAGGTGGCTCCCTCTGCACTCCAAACCATCTCAGAGTATCAATATGAAGCAAGAGACTTCCCAGGTCTGATGCTACAGGCAGAACACAAACCTATTCTCCCAGTACTGCAAAACAGCAGAGATGGAAGTTGTTAAGCACTGGAGCTTCTTTTTTTGCTTGCAGAAACAAAGCCAAGATCTGGTTGAAAAGATGAGTGCTTCCTACAAGCTCATGTCTCTTAATTGTAAAACAGCTGGTAAAGTTGTGGGAATAAGTCCTTTGGAATAATAAGTGAAGTCCAAATTCCATACATGAGACAGGGTACCAGCTCGGATGATAAAGTGCTCAGCCTGGCTCCTTCCAGAAGAAATATGCATGCATATATTCACTTAAAATACACTCAATGTTCCCAAGCCAATATTCCAAGACCAGTTTCAAAAAGCCCAGCAGCATAAAAAAAGAACTGTTCATGAGCAAAATACCTTCAGTCATTCCCTCTGCAAAACCTCAAAAATGGGAAAAAATGGGCTTTACAATGCTTGGTTGAAAATACCTGTGTTCTGCTGCACTTAAAGCTCTGCTCACTTTTAATTGCTAATCCTTGCTGCTGTAATGCTTGCAAGGCACAGATTTTGCTACTGGAAATGTATTCTCTCTCAAGGACTCTAAATTCTAGTTGTAAAGATCTCTTCCTATATCAGATATTGGCAATGGCATGTTTCTAGCCTATTAGCATGCACTCTCAAGAGAAAGAGGGATCAGTCATATTCTAGAACCAAATCCTGTCTCCAGGTAACTGATGGCTGAGAAGCAGCCTTCTCTTCCACGGAGCCTCCAGTGTGTTCTTCCTCTCTTAACAGATGACCCTTTTAACTCAGACAGTTTCTGCCCTATTCTCTTAACAGGCCCCACACACTTATGTCCAAAACACACCCCGACTGCTGGCTCAGCTCTCACAGCAGGGTGCTTGAAGGCATGTTACAGAACAAGCAGCCAGCCATGATTATGGGTCTTTATTCTCACATTGATAAGAAGTGCAAAAGCAGATGCCAATGACCACAGTTTGGCACCATGATTTCTGGAACCTCCTGCCCATAACCATAGGCCAGAGCTGAGTTTTGAGCACACGGCTGCCCCATGCACAGGGTACAGAATGCATTGTCACCTCCAGACTAACGGCCCCATGAATGCCACCAGCTTGCTGGATTCCCAGCATCAGCTCCACAGACAGCACACAATCCCCAACCCCTGTGCAGCACCAGGTTGGGAAGTGGTGTACTCCCAGTCCTGTGTTCTCATGGCATGGATAATGTGAGTCCAGGTTTAAATTACGTAGGAAAGGGGTTAAAGTTTAAATGACTGTTTTGTATATGAATTAATGTACGTAGCTTTGAGCCAAAATATCTACCATTAATTTTTCCACCTATTTCAGGAGCAGTAAGATACACAAAGTAAAGTTTATTTTGGTACTTGGTATACTTCACTCTCATTAAAAATAAATTAATCAGCAAATTCTTACACAGCTCAGCCTTCTTTTATGTAAATATAACCCAGCTGTAATGAATTACAAGGTGTTATTATCTCACACACAGTGTATAATACTTCACACAAGAGGTTTCTCTGCTTAGCTCAGCTTTCAACAAAAGCATCTTAAATAAACTGCAAGCAAGTTGTTTGGTCTGTAATGTTTTCACAGAGAAGGGATACACCTCACACATAGAGGGTTTCTTTACATGACTCATTTTATAACAAGTTAAACTGAGGAAGTTCACCTTGGAAAAAAAAAAAAAAACACACACACCAAAATGCCTTTTTTATATACAGAAGGTTCCCTAAGAGAAGATTAAAAGGGGAAAAAAAAAAAAAAGGCAAGTCAGTGTTTGGGAGCCTATAATCTGCATCCCACTGCTCCTTACACAGAGAAGGGATGTCAGATATACCCCAAAACACACAGTATGAAGTAAGCAACTTCAGAAGGAGAAACAGTTACAGCTGGGCACAGTCACACTTTCACCAGATTATGGATTCAGAAATTAAGGATTAGTTTCACAAAATAAGGATTATCACCTTCAACTTTTGTTTAACTGTTTTATTAGGAATGAGTACTGATACTATAGGGCTTAAGAATACCAAAACCACACATGGCAGAGAAAACACACACATCAATTTTACCCAGACTGACGTTTATTATTGACCAGAGTTTTAGACAGGAGAGAAATGAAAACTGGTTTTGTCACTGACCTGGAAATAGCCTGGTGAACTATCCACCTACACAGCACACCTCAGCCTCTGCTGACTTCATGACTGGAACTCTGGCTCCCAGAACTACTGCCCTGGTGTAATTTGCCCACACAGTCATATGAAGTTTTCACTGGGTTGACAGGTCTTGTCAAAAAGCCTATGCCCACTGCTTTAGGGAATGAAGGACAGCATAGTTCTGACCCAAGACAGGAACAAGGATGTTCTTTTCATAAAGAAATTCTTGGACTACAACTCCAAAAAGAATCTGGAAATGTCAGAAAGGCAGACTGAAATAGCAAGTACTCTCAGACAGCTTTTAGTGACAGCCCAGACATGTTCTGGACTTTATTCTCGTTAAGATGGCCATAGAGGATTCTGGGGACCAGGCATTAGTCTTTGCATTCTCCTATCCTTGTGCAACAGAGCAGAGAGATCCTAAACAAGGATTTTCACAGGACCCTTGAGAATCTGTTAAAGCAATTCTTAACTCCACTAAAGCAAAAACGGATATTTCCATCTTAATACCAGCCTTTCAAAACACGTTATCAATACGCAAAGCTCAGATTTGCATCCACAATCATTCAGTGAGCAGAGGAACCGTCGTGTCTCTGTGTTCTCCAAACGAGGCAAACGACAGAAATGTCTTCTGGAGATAACTCTAAGTCATGGTAAAATATCAGGTTTTATAAGGACAGAAGGTAGGTCTTTCCATTTGCCAGCAAGGAACACTCAGTGCCATAAAAAGGACAGAGCTTCTCAAACCAACTAGCATTTATTTGCAGGTAAATATTGAGAAGAAAATGGTTGTCTGGTTTTCTATTCAGGCACCGTGGACAGGATATCTAATTAAATATTCCATTTCCAATGCGGACTTTCCTTCCTGATCCCAGAGCTTCAGCTCAGAACAATTCCAGGCACGCTTCCCAAACGGACAGCAAGGTCAGGCGTGGGTGCTCTCAGAGCCCCTCGTCGTTGTACACAGGGGAAGGGGGCTTGAGGATGCTGCGGGCGTCGCGCTCCACCAGCGGCCGCCAGCTCACCTCACCCGTCAGCAGCAAGTCCTCCCCGCTCAGCGCGTCCAGGTGCTGCACCTGCAAGGACAGGGCATTAGTGCAAGGTGTCCCTTCACCCACCCACTGCACTTTGCTGTCTGTCTGACACAGACCTAACGAGGTAATTGATGCAGTAGTCATGGAAAGGCCAGGAGATAAGTATCTGCAGACCTGCTGGAGTTAACTGCGTAAGGTCTTCTGCTAAGACCTTAGCTAATGCTTCCTCTGAACGTTCAGCAACAGGATAAAGAAGAGTCAGGCAAACATGAGTCATTTTATCTTCCCAGCAGTTAATTCAGATGACACACTGCTAACTCCATCATCTACGTGGAGTGCCCTCATAAAGGTGGTTTCACATAGACAGAAAAGGCTGACCAGCAGGGAACACCTGAGATTTATAACATAAAAGCACATGAGCTGGAGCAGACGAACACGGAACGAGCACTCATTCTTGCAATACAAGAAATACTTGGGATCAAATGAAATTTTAAGGTGCAATGTAAGCAAAATAAAAACCCTCTTGCCACACAACATAGGGTTAACTTGCTGTCACGGGACACTGTAAACCCAGGGAGAAGCAGAAAGAAAATGTTCATCAGGGGTCAGTAAAAGACGAAAGCACCACCTCTGGCTCAGGATGTCTGTGAAGCAGATTGCTAGGAAAGCTGACCAGGGGAACAGGACACATGCTTGCTCTGTTACTATATTCTTCTTTGGCATCCACTGATAGCCACTGTTAAAGACAGGATCAGCAAGAAATCACGGGAAAAACCTTGTACACAATGCTTACTAGGAATAAAAGACAGTCTGAAAAGGAGTTTCTCAGCAGAGGAAGGAACATGTCAATGGCCACAGAGGGTCAGACCAAAGAGCCACCTAAGCACAATCTCCTGTTTCTGATAGTTGTCAACAGCAGATTCCCCAGAAGAAGTTAAGTACACGGCATGCATCCGATGTTATGTTCCTTGTTCATTTTCCCTCCCCCACAGTATCTGTTAGTTTGGGGATTTTGAGCCTGAAGTGGTTGCTGTGGATTTAATAGCCCTGGACAGACTTTTCACAAACTGCCAGTGGCTTTGAAGCCCACAACCAATTGTAGCATCCCAAACGTTCTGTGGCAATGTTAAGCCCCCATGTTCTTTTATCAGTGAACAGCCCTTTCTTGCTCACCTTTCATACATCTTCAAGATCTCCCAGAGCTGTCCACTAACTGGACGTAGCAAACGTACCAGTTACTAATAAAGAAGCTGTTTCATGTCATCCTTACCACTCTTCTTTGAGCCTTCTTCAGTTTATCTTTATGGTTGGAACCCAAACCATACACATTATTATACACAAGATTACCACGGATTTTAAAACTGGCATAACAACACTACTTTTATCCTCTATTCCACCCGTCGTAGCTCTGAGTATTTGTTATATTTTTTAAAAACACTACAGAGTGCTGAGCTGACATTTTGATAATATAGTTATGATCTCAAGGTCTCATCCTGTGTAGTAATAGACAGTTTAGAGCTCATCAATATATACGCAAAGCTTGGGCCTGTTTTCCTCAAGGGAACCACTGTAGAGCTGTCTGCAGGAATGACCTCTCTTTACAGAAGCTGTGCTCATTCTTCCCCACTGTGCCACATTTATCTGTGAGCACTGTTTCCTATTCAACTGCTGATACCTTCTGTCCTATCCTTTGCTTGAACATACAGAAATGTGACAAGTTTCCCATTTGGCAACCAACTGTCCCAAATTAAACACTTTTTATATGTGTTCACTCCCTGCTGATCTTCAGTTTCAAACTTTCCTACATACTTACTAATGTTAAGCATAAGCAGGCTTAAGCAGTAAATTAAGTCTATTCCTCCTGAGAAGCCCTCTAGAATTCCAAAAGTGTCCTCAGTCCCTTAGAAAATTCAGTGGTTTACTTCCCATGCCACTTTGTCAGACACACACTGAAATGTTGTCTCTCCAAATTTCTATCTGGTCCTGAGAACAGTATTGGAAACATTACAGAGAATACTATTGTGGAGGTTCTGGTCTTCAATTTCCTGTCCAACAGCCTACACTTCCTCCAGAACCTCTCTCACCCCTTTCTTGTCTTTGGTACCTACCTGGACTCTATCACACCAAGGTTTCCCAGAAACCTGACTCACAAATCTCCCAGAGGTTGACAGGGCAAAAATAACTTGGCATTGTTTCCTCTAGATAATAATGGAAAAAAGCCTAAAGAATTCTGGAAAACAAAACCTTTTACTTTTCTCACAAAGACCATCAGGAGATTTTCATGCTTTGCGTGACATTTCATTATGAAGAGGATTTCAACTCCACAACATCATTTACCATTCTACAAGTTGCAGCCCGTTTCTGACACATTTTGTCAAGTCCCTCCACAGCACAGCTCCTGGAAAGGATTAGCAGGATTGCTCTCCATATTCTGTGAATTTCTCTGCGACCATTTTTCGTCAAACTGCAATAAATATCACCCACTGTTTATATTTTTTTTCATTTTTCTACTTAAAAGTAGTCCCTGAATATAAAAATCAGTTATATTTATGAGGATAACTGAGCTACACAGTAGGCAAGGAATAAAAAGGGACAGTTACTATTCCAGAGAAGAGAATGCAGGGAGGTTGCAGCAGGAGCTGCACGTACCTGTTTGCGCACGTACTCGACGAGTAGCTCCAGGTGCCGAGGGTCCTCACAGTTCCTGTTGAAAAGGTTTCTCCAAAGAGCTGCTGCCAGAACGTGATCATCAGACAAGATTCCCTAAAGGAAGTACAGGAGGGGATTAAAAACTGCATGTGAGGAGGGTCTGAACACAAGACAACCACGTTACCCTACTTGGCAATGAACAGCATTAGGTGACTCAAAGCCCACAGCTGCTGTGGAGTGTACGTATGAAAAGGCATCAACATCACTTTCACAGAATGGAAAAAACAACCCTGGCCTTAAACTAAGTCACAGAGCAGCCTGGAACAAATACTATGGCGAGTTAATTTGGAAAAAAACTAGATCAGGGTGTTCCTAATGTAAGAGCTGATAAATGCATTTCTGTGTTATGAAGCCTTTACCATAAAGTTTTTGGCCTTGGAGAGATGACAGCCAGCACCCCACAGCATTGTGTGAAGCCATGACACTTGGAAAAGAAAAATTAAAAGGTATTTAATACAAAGTTGCATAAATGTAGCCAGGACCTGGCTATTATACTTTGCTCTTCTATTTTTCATTCTAAATGAGAAAGAGAGAACTTCTCATCATCAAGAACTGTCTAGACTTTTCTGGTTAAATCTAGTATTAAATTTGGCTTACACAAGAATCACATCCATGAGAACTTTGTCTAAATTCTTCTTCACTTTTACTGTCTTTTTAGATTGTGTGGTGTTATCACCATAGTCTTTTAACTTGTGTCTTCTGCTGACACATTTGCCAAAGGCAAAAGAGGACTTTAAAATACTCAGTTAAAAATCAAAAAGGTAAACATTTGTCTTTAATTGGAACATTTTATTTCCAAAAAGAATGTCAACAAAAAGAGAAGAGAGAAAAAAGAGAGAGAAAAGAGAGAAAGAAGAAAAAAACCCCAAACATACAGGCAGACACATCTTGGCTGTACATAAAACTAGGTAAAAGGCCTGTATGCACAACACTGTCCATGACTCTATTAACATCTTGCAAAAGTAAACTTTGTAATGAAAATGACCATGCAAAAAAACATCACTGTGAATAAAAGCATCTGAATGGCAGCACCCACTAGACCTAAAAAAATCTTACTAAAAGATTATGTAATTTTCTTCTAGAAAGTCCTGCAAAGACTTGTGCAGAGTGGTGCTTTCACCTCCCCATATTATTAGATACTTCCTAAAAATACCCTCTCACACAGACTCCCTATAAATACTCTCTTTGCTTTCAAAGTATAGCTGAGTACAATTGGATTCACAGGGAGGAAGTGATTTATTGATGGCCAAGCAGTGACAGCAAAGCAGTACAAAGAGTATCCCTCCTTCCCAGCCCTATAGTTTAAATCAATACACTGTGTGCTTTCTTTTTTCTTAGAACTACTTTAATCCAAGGCATAGGATATTAGCAATAACTAAGAAGTCTGCTTCCATAATGTAACATGTCTCCAAAGATATGTACAGCAAATGTTTTACCCCTCTGAAGTACTGTGTATTCATTAATTAGATGGTCTACTTGTTATTGCACATTCTCTGAAACCATCCTTCTTACCTCATCATATCCAAATAGAGCTGCATAGAAATTTTGTACCATACTTCTTAAATCTTCCTTTAGAGCAACAGAAGTAATCTGAAAAATAAAGCAGAAAACCATCCATACAGGGCCTAAGAGGAGGTGATGAGAAAACACTATCACCTTCACTCTGAGTAGGCAAAGAAGAAAGTGTCTTGTCCCAGAGAGGTTAGGGTTTAGCTGCAAGAAATGATGTTAGTGCAGTCAAACATTCTAGAACAACATGCAATACAGCTCCATTAATTCTGTACACAACAGTGTTACTCAGAATATATGAACAGCAGAAAAATCCTCAGCCAACAGCACTGATGTATAACTAAGCTACATGAGTGGTGAAAAAAAAATGCAGCTGGGGAAAGGTTGAAGGAGAGGCTGTCCTTTCAGTGGCAGCATAGGCTAAGATAAGGCTCTTCTGTGTTTTAACTGTTAAGCAGGTTTTGCAGACCTTGATTCATTCACACAGGTCTTTTAGAAGCTGGAAGGTTTTGCAGCTTCTTTCCTAAAGCATGGACTCCAGAGCTGGACATTCTATTACAGCAAAAGTACTTTAATGCTAAAGACAGTGGCACCATCCCTGCCACTACCCTTTACTTACCTGTCAGTATGGACCCTCTCATTCAGGAATCAGATAATTCTGTTTCTACAGCATCTCAGTAGAAGCTCAGACTTACTCGGTTTTGACTAGGACTAAACTTCATTCAGAGTTTGTAATGATCCAGCTACTCCTCCCCATGCTGTACCTGAGAAGCAGTCCAAGTTCCAACTGCTAGGTCCAGACTGATGGCTCACAGAAACTGTCTATTCCTTCTGCCTGTAATTTTTACTTCTACCAACAAAATGGTTTAATAAACAGTTCCTCTCCTGAGGACTAAGCTACACTTCAACTGATAAAGCTTCTTCTTTTTATTGACTCCCATGAGAGATGTAAGAATTTCTTTTCTACACATCTCACATACAACTGAAGTATAAATGACATGGATAACTATCTCCATAGCTGCATACTAGCAGGACACTTAAGTGACTGCATCTTGGAGACAGGTTTTACAAAACAGAAGCTGCAAACAGGAATACAGGGCAGGGCATCAGTACTATGGAATAAGCATAGCTGTCTGCTCTACAGCTTATCACCCTTACAATACTGTGAACCACATGTCCTAAATGCTGTCTTGCTATCCTTAAAAGTACTCACCTTGGTAATTATGCAACAGCTTTTCTATCAGAATATGAGTTAGTTTTTGCCATGCTAGCAAATCTCCAGTTTAAATATTCTTCCATCAAACCACTATCTTTCTTCATCTGTTGATTTTTATAGAAACGTATAAAGTGCTAACACAAGGAAAATTCCTTTTATGTCAGTTACTCATATTTTTCCACTAATATAAACTCTTAAAATTCATGCAGATATTTTATAGGCTATCAAGATTTGGAGACTGGTTATTACTGAATGTTAAAAACCTTAAGAAATCAGAGGGTTAAATGATGACTGCAACTTCTGTAAGGACTTAATTAAATTTTTATTGAGTACATAAACTATGATGTCATTTCTACCCAACCATGCTCAAACTTTCTATGCATGTCAGAGATCGTGGTTTTTCTCAATAGAACATACTTCTAAATAAGCTGCACTTCTACAGCTCTAATAAGGGGGAGCAGGTCTCATGTAACACACTCAATAAATTATCCTTCCATTTTAAATAAACAAATTCCATGAGTTATTATATATTTGCCACGCACTTTTTATGACATAATAAAAATGTTACCTCAAGGATTACTTAACACATACTACAAATGTTACAGCAGGCAACTGCAAGGGGCAAAGAAAACAAATAGTCCCATTACAGAGACAAGTCCTGGACTATCCCTGGGGAAGCAGCTTTCTATACTAAAAACAAAGAGCAGCAGCTTTAAGTTAGCAAGAAATAGACTGATAAAGGAGATAACCTAGCTAAATAAAAATGGCAATAAATGAATCTTAAAAAGACAAAGTTTAAAATCTAAAATATTACTTCAGGGATAGAGCAGTATCTTAGACAATAAAATTACGTTAAAATAATATTGCAGTGTCTGAAGAATACAGTCAGTACTGCTTAAGTACAAGCACTGTAGGAGAAATTCCTCCTTTATAAAACAAGAAAAATGAGTAAATCCAAACCAGCATTTGTTGGAAATGCTGCTTCTTTTTAAGCTGGCCCATGTTCTTATGCTAGTAAGTTTCCTGATCTGGTTGGTCATGATTCTGCTGGCTCTTCCAGTTTGTCATGAAGAGGAAAAACTGATAGGCAATTCCAAGTGAGCAACTGCTAGTAACATGAAAAAAAATCTGTAACATCTGGAGTTTTTCTGTAGACTTAGCCCCTTTGCCTTCTTTGGAACAACCCATTGTTCCAGAACAACCAGAACAAATCTATATACCAACACCTAAACTGACACACAGAACTCCTAGTTCAAAAGCAAGGGATGTATTTGGGTACGTCTCTCACATTTACAAGACCCTTAAAAAAAAAGAAACGTACAGCTAACGTATCTTCCTACTACATGTCACAGCTTTTCATTGAAAGACTCCATGATCCCACATTCTGCCTGCAAGATGACTACTGCATTTCCATGATTATATTGCAGTAAGAAGCCTTGTCTCCAGCTTCAATGAGTTTAGTATGTCTCATTCAACAGCCAGCTGCTGAGGCTTACTGCTGTATAATCAATTCTCAGTTTAAGCTTTGCATTCTAGCAAGATTTCTAAGAAAGTAAGACCACATATGCTGGATATGTATGAAAATACATATGTATGGGTACAGTTTTTAATGTGAAAGCTGCTATGGGATTTATCCCTATTAAGTGTCTTTTGTTAGATTCAGAGAATACTTTTGTAACGAGTCTCTTCCTGATCCCCACCTACCATGCTTTAGTTTACACTGCACAGAAGTCTCAGTGTGCACAAAGTGGAAAACATGCTCTAATGTGCTCTACTTCCGCCTGTAAAGAGAAATTCAGTCCACAGGATCAGCCCTGGACCACTGCAGAGCAAAGACCATCCCCATGGAGTAGGGATGCTGCATCACTGACTCTCACTCTCCTCTGTGCTCCTTTCAGACCACGCTAAATGCTAGTGTAGGCATAGCTGTGATGCCCACAGGCTACACTATTTGGAAGCACTTCAACAGGAGTTTCTTTCTGTTACTGCTTTTGCCAGCATGTGTTGCACCCTTAAGCTACTTTAACACATTAATCCATCCATAGACTATAAAGCCAGAAGGGACACTTCTAACTGCACCATGTACGAGTGCTAACCATTGAATTTCATGCAGAAATTAATCTCTTTAGGCCATAAGTTATGGCTGAACTAGACTTTTTTTATGAAGACATTTCAGCCAGAAGAAGTGATTAGATCATAGAACCTGACCCTCTGCGTATCACAGACCATTACATTTCACAGAGTTCCCTCTGTACTAAGGTCAGTGAGCTGTGCTTGGCTAAAGCAGATCACCCTCACAGTTGAACATGTGTATCTCATTTCATATTTGAATTTTCTGGCTGAAGTTTCCACCTCCTCATTCTCATTATACCATTCCTGC